CCCCAAAACCCCAAAACCCCAAAACCCCTTCACAACGTAAAAATAAAACAATAAAAATAAATATTCATGGATCCTAGTAAAGGTAATATTTGGATTAAGTGTCATAGTGGGGACAAAGAAGGAAGAAACTGTACTTGTACATAGCTATTTAATGAATATTTATCAGTTTTGGAAGAGGAAAAAGGTGAGGCCAGGGATTTAGGAGGAAAGGAATTGGACTGGAAAGTTAGGGAATGAGTAGATGGGAGGTTTGAGTTTATTGAGGTTTTTGGATTTTGATAAAAGGGTATTTAGAAGTTGAATTTAAGGTATTTGGATGAGGATGGGGTTATGGAGAAGAAAGTCCTTTGAAAATTGAAAGGATTTGCTAATAAATTTCTGAAAATTTAATGTGAATTGAAGCAGTTTTGATTCTAGCGTTAATATCAGAGATCAGAATAGCTTTTTTGAATATTTCCTTATTAATAATCTAGAAGAAATCTGGTAATAAAAACCACAGTCAAGAATCCCAAAGCTCAGAAATCTCAGATAAAGAAGAAAGCCTATGCTGGTCCTAATAACGATGTAAGCCCTCCTCTCTCACCCAATAGTCCATATTTATCAGAGACGATGAGACACAAAGCAGCACTGAAACGATCTCAACACTCCAGTAATCCCCAAATCTCACCTTAGAAATGACAAAACATATAAAAAGCTAAAGCAATTACGCTACAACATCCACGAACTCTACACCAAAAAGAAGCCTAAATCCAGCCACAAGAACAAACTCATCTACAAATCCTGCAGACTAGTAGAATCCAACTCCCAAGCTAACCTCTCCACTCAAAATACCAAAAGAAAGAAAAAGCCTACTGAAAAAGTCCAAAACAGACTTTCCTCTATGAAGAGAATGCAGGACAATAAGCCTAAGAAGTTGCTGAAAGCTGACCAGTCCTGAATCATCCAGCAGGTAGGGACTGGGGGTAGAGAAGGGGGCTTAGGAGTAGATTAGCTTAGAGGGGTTGGTTTTAGAAGTTGGTGGTAGTCGTAAGGAGAGTTCGGGAGGTTGCGGTTGTGTAGAGGGTGAGGGATTGTGTGATTGGAATAGTCAGTCTAAGCTTAAGAAGAATTTCTTAAAGTTCACAAAAGAGTTTTCACATATTTCATTCAGATAGTATTCTTATTATTCATGATTTTTAATTTCTTTAAATTGTTTTAATTTGAAAGTTTCTTGTTCCTGTACTTTCACTAATTTTGTTCGTCTTTCATCTGAAAAATTATGAAACTCTCTAAATATTTAAAGGTTTTATTTTACATAATCACTCAACAAGCTTATACACTTTACCTATGAAAATGTTGAACACCAAACCATAACCCAACTGAAGTAAAAATTCAAAATAAAGTTCATCTAAAATTGATATATCGATAAAGATTCTTTAACTAGATTATTTTTAGGATTCCAAGAAAAATCTAAAGATGTCTAGCATCCAAGTTATTAAGGCGAATAGTACTGATAAGTAATCTTATGACTCACTAGAATAGGAGAGACAAATAGAAACATCATAAAATCACTTCAAGTCACTGAAAATAAGGGTAAAATTATTCACAAATCAGTCCTACCAAAAACAAAGACAGGTATCATCATGGAAGAGAGGGAGAAATTAATGAAGGAGTCCCTCACTAATAACTTTGAGAGATTAAAGACCTCTAAAGTATTCTCTGATACTTCCCCAGAAACCTCGATGACTACCATACCTAGAGAAATGATCTTTGAAACTTCTGAGCTAAAAGAATCTAGAGAGATTCTTTTGAAGAAAGTTCATACAAAGAGCCAATATTCAGCCCCTCCTAGGAGAGATTGTACGAGTCCTATTAAGAAACAGCTAACTTCTAATAAATATGAAGTTCCTGTTGCCACTTATGATGAGAACTACAGCTTTAAGAACTCGAGACAAGCTGGTAACTACAAATGATCATTATGGAAACTCCAGAAGACAAAAGCAAATGTACGTTTAGCTCTCTTACTTGTAGAACAACATGAAGAAGCTAGCACAAACTAGCAATTTGGAAGGAGTAAAGGTCAAGCCTCATTCTCTGATCCACCCTGGACTTAAGAGGCCAAGAGTGGATTCTTTCAACTCCTCTAAACAAGGTAAGCCATAAGAAGTTTATAGAGCAAAGGTGGCCCTCTGGGTATTGAACGTAGAAGTAATGAACTTACCTTATCTCAAAAAGAAGATAATTCAAACTTCAGCAGTCGCAACAGCAAGAGCATTCTTCCAGAAGGACAGAGTTTACCGCTAGAGGATTGAAAAAGTGCGAAAATTAATGTTAAGAAAGACAGGAGAGTTAACAAATTACTCTATTCTAACAAAAGCGACAACGATTACTATTGCCCTCAAATAAGAAATAACTTCCAAGTGAAGAGAGATGTAGCTGATTTCTTCCTCCTCAGTTCCACTCCATCAGAAGAGAGCAAGAAATTGGTCATCAGTGGAATAAGTAGTAAATAAGAAGAGCAAGCCTGTAGATGCCAGTTCAATCTACAGACGTCCTGCAAAGGTAAGTTTTATTAATATTTTTAGAAACAAGAATTCATTCCCTGGAGAGGGAAGCACAGAGATGATCGGTTCCAGGTGACTTCTCCAAGCTATAACTTTCAAAAGCTGAACGGGGTCCCTCAATATGGTACGAGAAAATACTTTTACACATCTAAATCTTTGAATAAACAAATAGCTTAACATTTATAAAAAGTATTGTTTGATAAATATTATGAAGGTTGTATCTACCAGGAGGAATCAGAATGGAAATTAATTATAATATCTTCCCTTTTGTCTGATACAGTAGAGATAAGGCTTAGAGGAGACGACAAAGTCTTCTAATAGAAATTTTCAGCATAGAGATTAGTAGTAATTAGAACTATACATCAATCAAGAGAAGTCTTATAGAAATTGCTAAATAATTCTTGAGCTCTTTGAATAGCTCTAAATTTTTTTATTTTTACTTTAAACTTATTCATTTCCCTTGTTCTAATATTAATCCAATGTTTGACTGTATAGACTATCTTGCGAGGTCTAATCAGGTGAGGGAGAAACCTAGCTACAACGTAAAGCTTAAAAGTCACTCTAGCAATATGTATTGTTTGTTTTAAAATATAGATTTGTTGCTTCTATGACAAGCAATCTCTAATGAAATTAAAGGCTTTTAAAATTTTTACAACCAAATTATTATGCAAAATTTTAGCTGTAAAGCAATTTATGTGCAGCCTCAAGGTTAATCGGATAAGTTGAGAGCAAATTCTCAGCCAATTTGTTCGATCCGCCTCTATTCCATGCTTAAAAATTTAAAGAATTTAAGTCTTTGAGGCTTGTTATTAATTAGATGATTCTGACACTTTCAATTGCTTAAGTCAGAATAGGGGTTTTGGGGTTTTGGGGTTTTGGGGTTTTGGGGTTTTGGGG